TCGTAATACTGCACAGGGGGTACGTGGACGGTGCGCCGCGTTAGAATAGGCATCGCACGGAGAGTTTAATGAAACTTAAAACAAATACTATCCCAAATGAGAAGGTGGGTGTTGTAGTGGCTGGGGCGGAGGTGAGGATGGTGGCACCTTTCTCTCCTCTGATTTTCTTGTGCCGGTTTTCTTTTTTTGCATATTTCTTTGTGACCTTCTTTTATCTTTCTTGCTTCTTTCACACATATGACTTTGTGCTTTCCGTTGGAGTTTCTCCCCGAGACTTCCGTGGAGACACGTGAATAGCAGAAAACAGAAAAGAAAACGAGAAAAGGGTATAAATATATATATATATATATATTTATTTATTTATAAAGAGAGAAATTACAATCACTGATACCAAACGACACCCATCACTCCAATCTTTAGAGGGTCGAAATGGAGCACCAGCTTCAGGATCTCCTTGAACAAGGCGGTCTTTCGCACACCATCCAGGGCTTCATCGACGGCGGTGTGACTACTGTGCAACAGCTTAAGCAACTCACAATGCAGGATTATCAGTCTGTTGGTATCATCGTCATGACGGACCGTCGAAAACTCTTTGAACTTATTCAGTATATGAAGCGAGAACAAACCAACGCCGCCCCCGTGGCCTCTGCGGATGTGTCACGCAATGTGGATCACAATTCCCACGCAACATCCACGCCAGCCGTCAGGAATACCACCCCGTCTCGCCGCAGTAGCACTCCCTCCGCAGCGCAATGGAGGGCAGAGCACGAGAATGCCCGCATGTACGAAGCCAAGCACACCGCTGCAGTCCGTCGCGACCCCGTTCACATGAACGAGGATGCGGAAACCTCAACAACAACAAAGGCGACGCCCAGTTCACGCCCTCTCAGCCGACTTGCGCGCGCCTCACCCACGCCGCTTGCCCGAAGAGCGACAGAAGGAGGTGGGGTAAAGCGCAAAGCTAGCCGCATCATCGTCGCGGTGCGCAAACGCCCGCTGAACAGTTCAGAGCTAAACGAAGGGCTATACGATGTCCTCGCTACAGACCCAGATAATATGCGCGCCATCGCCCTCTTGGAGCCGAAGCAAAAGGTGGACCTGACAAAGTATATTGAGAAGCATCGATTCACATACGATTTGGTTTTGGATGACAAACAGAGAAACCGTGATGTGTACGAAAAAGCCTGCAAGCCTCTCATTGAGACTGTTTTTGAGGGTGGATGTGCGACCTGTTTTGCGTACGGACAGACAGGAAGTGGTAAAACATACACTATGCTGGGAAAGGATGATCAGGAAGGCATTTACCTTATGGCTGCACGAGATCTGTACGCGCGATTAGAACCGGGAATGGGCATCATGGTGTCCTTTTTTGAGATTTACGGGGGAAAATTGTTTGATCTCCTCAACGAGCGTGAGAAGCTTGCGTGTCGCGAAGATAGCCGTGGTGTCATCAATGTCTGCGGACTCACAGAACATCGTGTTGATGATACTGATCACCTCATGCGTGTCATCGACTATGGAAACTCCATTCGCGCAGCTGGATCCACTGGTATGAACGCGGACTCCTCCCGGTCGCACGCTATCCTTCACATCACTGTCTTGAACGCCAAGAACCGTTTCTTTGGAAGATTTACATTTATTGACCTCGCAGGTAGCGAACGGGGTGCCGATACACTTGACAGTGACCGCACGACACGTCTCGAAGGCGCCGAGATCAACAAGTCACTGCTGGCACTAAAAGAGTGTATCCGTGCGCTTGATCAAAATCACCGTCACATACCATTTCGTGGTTCGAAACTCACAGCAGTGCTTCGGGATTGTTTTACAGGGAACAGTCGAACTGTGATGATAGGTAACGTGAGCCCTGCTAGTGGAAGTTGCGAGCACACACTTAATACCCTGCGCTACGCGGATCGAGTGAAGGAGCTTAAGAAGGACAAGTCTTCACGGGTCGCTGCGGAGGAGATCATGATTGGACAAATGCCAAGTGAAGAGGTTGAGACCCTTGGTATTACTGGCACATTTGCCCAACGACGTGCGCGCGAAAAAAAGATCAGTACGCGGTCTTCGAGTCAGCTCTCACAGCGCGAGCCGGGGACACCAAATCTGAAACCGTACAGTGGATACGGCAGCGGTTATCGCCCGAAGGCTCCTCAGCATCGTGTCCCAATGAGTTGCAAAGAAGATGACTACCCGAACTTTTCGGATAGCATCCGCTCCAGTAAAGTTGCAAGCAGCGGTCCTGAGAGGGTGTACGCCAGGGCGACACCGAAGCACAGCCGTGTTGGTAGTGAGGCGTCTATCCGTGATGCTAGTCCTTATGAGATGGCTTCTTTTGCAAGCGGAAATTCTTTAGACGACGATGAGGACAATGTCATCTTGGGCCACCGTCGGCATATTGACGCCATGATGGAGCTCCTAAAGCAAGAGATGACGGAGCTCAATGGTGTCGAAGTGCCAGGAGCCTCCATCGAAACGTATTGCAGAAATGTCGACAACATACTTACCCGCCAGGCCAAAAACATTGAGGGTGTTAGGAATATGATAAAACAGTTAATGAAACACGTAGAAGCCCGTCATCGCCGCTAACAGACCACGTCCAATTGGTGGAGCGGTAAGGAGTAGTCGTTGTTTTCCTCGTGAAGGAGCGAGGACCTGTAGAGAGATGGGAAGAAGAAGTGTCTGTGTGTCTTGGGGGGAGGGAGTGGAAGAGAGAGAAGGAGAGACAGGGAAAGAAGAAGAAAAGAAAGGAAGAGGGCGCAAAAGACTCTGTGGAATAGTCTCAGTGCCTCATAAGGCGGAAGTGTGTATATTGCACGCATGTACGAGGAAATGCGGCTGAGAGGAGGGCGTTCTATGTATCATCATCGTGTGACCCTTCCGCACATGATGTGACGGGCCCGGATCGCATCGCGAAGTGTTTCACACGCTGCTCCAAAGTCGGCTGGCTGCTGGTTTCTTTGCCCACCTAGAGAAGAGCGCCGTATCGGGGTGCAGAAGTAAGATTACTCGATTTTGTTTTATTGTTGAGTGGTGTAACCCACGAATTTCGAATGGCGGCTGGCGGTGTCGACTCTGTGAACACCCGCTTTTTTATGGCTCGTTTTTTTTTTCATCTTTTATTCACGCTTCTGCTCTCCCCGATCGGTTGCAGAACGGAAAACAAAGAGAAAGACAACAGACTACAATGACCTTGTATAAACGCATTCAGCACTGGAGAAAAGGCCAAAAAAAGGGCAAACCCGTCGTTTTTGTTGGGCCGGAAAGGTGCAACCGTTTCGCAACAATTACTCCTCTATTGGGTTTCCCGAAGATGCAATGTTTTCCCGTCTCTGCTCCCCTGCACCTTCACCGGAGTGGTTGCCGTTTCCCTGTTTTGGAAGTATTTCCTCTCTTTTTTGTTTCTCCCCCGTCTTGTGTGTAGCCCTCTGTTGAAGCAATGAGGAGAGCTCAGGAGGTTATTGGCGAAAAGCTTCGAAATCGTGTGGGGCGTAGGTGGGCCTCTGCGTCGCCCTTTGCGTTGCCAACGGAGGTGACAACGGTGCGCACGAAGGGGTACGGCCCCACCAAGGACCTTCTCAAGGGCATTGACACCACAAATGGGCTTCTTGTGGAAACAGCACTGCACCCAGCGGATGCGGAGATGCAGCGGCGCGTCCTTGCTTTGTCTTCTGTAGGTGTGAGTGTTCACACTCCGCTGGATGGTGAAGCAGCCCCACTGAACGACAACGTGGCTCTCCAACAGGAGGGGATCGTCGCCATCTCGCCTGAGCAATTGTCGTCCGTCGCGACCGTGATTGTTGACCAGCTGAAGGAACAACTGGAGCTGAGTGGTTACACCGCCGAGGCGGCGCAGGATGGTCGGTCGGGAAGTGTAGTGAATGCCGTGGCGAGTTGCCTGCAACAAGAGATAGAACGTCTCGTTGTCTCAATGCAGGCACAGGAGGTGTCCTTTGGGCGCATGCTTCAGGAAAATTCAGATCTTATTTGTGCGAGAGTGGCGAGTGTGATTCGCACAGAACGTCCCACTCCCCCAGTTCAAAATGAGGCGGAAGAGAAAAAGCGGCATTCCCTCCTCATGGGGGAAGTTGCGTCGGCTTTGACGAATTTAGAAGACTCACTGAAGAACACATTAGAAGGGACTCTCGCCAAGTACAAGGCAGAAGAACCTGTTGCCGAAGACCTTCGTGTGCATGTTGTCACTGCCATTGAACAGGCGTCACGCATGCAGCAGGAACAGATAATTGTTTCGCTTGAGGATATGTTGGCGAACGTGGCCAAGCTGGAGCGTTCACACCTTAATCCACCCAACTTAGAGTCTATTCAAGAGGTGGTAAATGAGGCCATGAAGCAAGTAGTGGAAAAAACACAGCATGAGATAAACGAACTACTCCAGGCCGTGCGAGAAAAAAGCGCTGAAAGTGCAGCTCGTGTGCCCGGCGCTGGGGAGGCAGTACTGGAGGGTTTGTTGGCGTCGTATGGCGAGCGACTGGAGGAGATGCGTGAGACCACAGCAGGCTTCGCAGACTTGAAGGAATTGCTGATGGAGGTGCACAGCCATCAGCAGACAAATATGACGGCAATACATGAGGTGCAGGAAAGTGTGAAGAAACTCAAGAAGGAGCTGAAAGGCGCCCTTTACGAGGCGACAGGTGGAGGTGGTTCCTCTGAAGAAAAAAAAGACGACAGCGCGGATCAGTTCGCGGAGTATTGCGACAAATTAGACGCCTTGGCCGACCGGGTGACATCAGTGGTTGAGCAGCAGCTTAAATCACAATATGCGGACGTGAAGGAGCTACCAAAGCGACTGCTTGATCTGGAGAACGCAATACGGGAGAAACAGCGGCCCGCCCTGCAAGATATTCCTCCCCTGCAGGAAATTGATGACGAGCGAATGGTTGCACTGGCACAGAGCATAAGTGAAAGCATTCTAGCCTCTATGCCAAGGCGCGAGGACCCATTGCCAGAAGCGACGTCATTTACGAAGGAGGATCTTGCAGATGCTGTGGCTGCCGCGCTCACTCCCAAATTGAATGAGCTGGCAGCAGCAGTGCAGGTGAACCGAAGCCCAAGCACCGTGGTGACGCAACCGGAGGATGGCACAATGGCTATCGGTGAGCAGCAACTAATCACACTTGCACAGACGATATCGGAGAGTGTGCGGGAGGCAGTGCGTGACACTGTGTCTTCCCAGCCGCCAGTAGAGATGCCGCCGTTTGGGTTGGGGGAGCAAGCTATGATTGAGCGACTGGAGGGCTTTAAGGAGAGTGTACTTGCGGGAGTGCAGGAGGAAATGGGACGTACTCATGAAGTTGACTTGACCCCCTTTCAGGCGTACCTTGACGAAGTTCTCGGGGGCATGCAGGAGGTGTTGGGCAAGCAACAGGAGGCAACGCAGGCCAAAATTGAGAATATCGTTAAGGTCCTGGCGGAACAGCTGCAACAACACGAGCAGACTGACGGCGATGCCAGACCCGCCAATATCACTGTGGCGGAGCTGGGAACCCTTAATGAACGTCTCTCAAATGAAATGAAAAGCATTCTTGCGAGTGAGTTGGCATCCGTGATTTCAAAACTCGGTGCCGCACAGGAAGAGGTTCGAGACGCGGCGCGGCAGTCATCTTCAGCTCTTGAAGTTAAGCTACTTTCAATCGAGACTTCGCTGCACGAGGCCGTTGCAGCCATGGAGGAGCGTAGTCTTCTCGTGCAAACGGCTCTTGATGGAGTTGCAGAGAACATTGAGGGCGTGAAGGGGAGAGGTGACTCTGAAACACAGCCACTGGCGTCGGTAAGTGACGCAGTAGCGGCACTCACCCGCCAAAGCGCAGCTGCCGCCAGTGATATAAAAGCACAACTTCGCGCGAGTGATGGCCGTGCGGAGGCGATGCACGCGAAGGTTACGGCAGAGCTGTTGCAGCGCATTGGCCAGCTGGAGGCGGAGGTGGTGGAGGGGCGGCGGCGCATCGACGATTTAATTTCGTCTAGCGCGGACCACAAGGAGGTCGCCACCACCGTGGAGGCGATGCGGCTGAAACTTGACGGAGTGGGCAGCATGCTTCATGACATCGTGGATTCGCACGCGGCGGTACCACCCCAACACCACCACCACCAACAACAACAACAGCAGCAGCAGCATCAGCAACAAGAGGAACAACAGAAGCGCGTGAATGCGGAGATGATCGAGCAGCGCCTCGACAGTCTTTTTGCTACAACGCAGGAAATACTCACCGATTTGCAAAAGTACCGCGCCGCCCAAGAAACAATAACCCATCCCCCGCCTCCAACTCCATCACCACCGCCACTTGATGCGAAGCTTGCAAAAGAGGAATTGACTGCAATGGAGGGACGATTGAGCGAGCGGCTACAGGGGCTGCAGGTCGCCGTCGACGGATTGACGCAGCTGGACGCCGGCGCGATGCCTGCCTCTGATGAGGTGCTGCAGCAGGAGTCAGTGACGACAGAAGAGACCAACAAATATGTAAAGGAGATTGACTCCCTCATCAAGATCGTAATGTCTTCAAAAGGCCTGCATGCGAGGCAAATGCGGGAGAAGCTCGACTCATTGCGCTCCTTGGTTGCTGCAGCGAAGTTCGACGAGCAGAGTGAGCATCGAACGACGCAACTGCTTGAAGCACTCGAATCAAATCGTCTCAAACTGAAGGAGGATGTGACCTGTGCAGAGGCGGAACTGATAAAACAGGTTAACGCAATGGTGAAGCACACAATAGACCACTTTACGAAGTCGCTTGCCCACACAGTAGCGTCATCGACGGAGACTTACACACAACAGCTTCGTGGCGACATGGATGCCATGGAGGAGAAGCTCGAGAAACATCAGCACCATGTTGTGTCGCAGCTGCATGATAGAATAAAAGAATTAGACAAGTCGCAGGAAGATCGCAGTGAAAAGCTGACGGCGGAGCTTCAAAGCGGTCAGAAGGAGTGGCACAACGCACTCAAACGGATTGTGGAGCATGACATGCAGGCCACGCTTCGCTGCACCGTTGCGGAGGTGTGCACTGAGCAGCTGCGCCCTGTGAGGCACCAACTGGAATCTCAGGAGGCGCAGCAGCAGGAGAGCGGTGCGGCACTACTGTCGAGCGTGCAGCAGGTGTCGCGCGACGTTGGCCTCTTGGGTGGCCTCAGTGGGGAGCTGCGCGCGGCAGTAAGTGGTGGCTCGGCGGAAGTCATTGGTGAACTGCGCCGTGCTCATGATGGGCTTGCAGAGCGCATTGAGCGGCATGTGTTGACGGTTGCGCAGCAGCAGCAACGAGAGGCGGCGGAAGTCGTGGCATCTGTGGTATCGTCCATGCCGACTGCAGCTCCTGCTACTAGTGCTACTAATTCAACCGCTACCACCACAATGATGCGGTCTACGCCGATGTCGCTGTGGTGGTTACTGGCATTGTCGTTCGTTGTCTTCGCCAGTATCATGGCGTGTGCGTACTTCCTATTCGCTGCATTCCTTGTCGCCTTTGTCCCCGTGGCGCCACCCGATGACCTGCTGCTGGCCGCTGATGCTCCAACACCTGTGGGGGAAAGTGCTTCTGCTATCCTGAAGAGGCCTTCCTCCTCGCGTGTGGTTGATCAAGTGATCTTCTGACCGCTGTATCTTCCCCTGCGCATAGATATCTATCTGTCCCGGTCACACGCACCACTACACCCTTTTTTTTGTTTTTGCGCGTGTGTGTGTGTTTGTGTGTGTAGGGCTTCTTTATTTTCGTTTTGCTTTTGACGCTCATCCTTGATGGCGTGAGCTTATGCGCATCTTACTTTAGTTGTTGTGTTATCCTTTGGCTCTCACGTTGTGCGTGCTCTCTTTTTCTCTGTTTCTCTGCTTCGCGGGTGCCTGCTGTGACACAACGGGTGGCAGTTTTCTTTTTGTGCACACTTGCGCTGTTATTCAGGAGAGAAGTGTCGCACCGGCATCTATAAAAGGGGGGAGTGATACGCGTCTTCCCCGTTAGTAAGAGGGTCCTTCATCGATTCGTTAAGGAGAAGGAGAGAGGAGGCGACAAAAAGCGAGGGGTATACATATAGCGCCATAACACATTTAGAACCGGGGTGACAGCAGTACCCTACTCACAGGAGCAGGGCCCAGGCAGAAGCCGATTAACAGCAACAGCAACAACATCGTCAAGAAGGTAATCAACAAAAAAGAGGGAGGGGGACTATGGCTGACGTCACGGCGCCACGAACGGGGCGGAGCCAATCCTCCTCACGCGGCGTGACAATAACCGCATCGCGGAAGGCCAAGCCGCGCAACGCACCGTTCAAGTTTCTGCGCAAAGACGAGGGGCGGCTCTCCTACACCTGCCAGCCTGAATCGCCGCTGACAGGAAGCAACAACCATAACAACAGCAATATCAGCAACAACAAGGAAAGTCCGTCAATGGAGCGAAGGGGGTCCCGGTCGCTGCGTGAGGCTATTGCCAACGACATGCGCAAGGGGAAGAACCAAGATCCGTTCGAAACGGTTGTCATTGCGGTTCCAAAACGTGCCCCGCCACCGAATCCCGCCGCACGCGAAGAGCCACATCCAACTCTTGACGCCGTGCAGTTGTCACAGCGTAGGCCGCCGTCGTCGCTGCAGACAACGAAGCGCCCTGACTGGGTGGACCCCGACATCCCCGAGAAGAACGGGGAGCTGGTGGCCACCGCGAAGCCAACGCCAGCTCAGCAGTCGCAACCACCACCACCACCACAACAGCAGCAGCAGCAGCAGCAGTTGCGCAACTCCGACGATGCGGAGAGGCCAGCGGAGCCAATAGGGCAGCGGTTCAGTTCGAGCCGTAGCCACGGCACCCCGCGGCGGGACGATGACTTCGATGATATGGAGTGGCAACAGCGACGGCGGCGAGCGGACGATCTGGAAAATAGCGTGTCGCGTCGCCTTGCTCCCCGCCGCTACGCCGACCCCGGTGAGTTAGAAGACGAATACCAGCGCAGCGGGCGCAACTTCTTCCGGCGCCCGCCACGCCAAGAATACCGCCCGTCACGGGAGGAGGACGGCTTAGTTGACCAGCTAGAGGATGAGCTGCGGGCTGCCAAGGAGGAGCGTGGGCGTTACCACCAGCTCAGGCAGCAGCTGGAGCGCGAGCGGCAGCGCTTTGAGGACTACCGAAACGGCGTCGAGCAGGAGATTGATGATGAGCGCGCCGAACTGGACGCGGCGCGGGCGTCTGATCAATGGCAAGCCAGAAGGGACGCCAAGGTGGTGGAAGAGCGTTACAAGTCTACTCTGGAGCTACTTAAGACGGAACGCGAGTCGAACAAGAAGCTTACACAAGAGAATGAGCTCCTCCGGCAGCAGCTGGAGGATATGACAACGCGCATGCGGGAGACACAGAAGTTGCAGAAGGCGGAGACTGGCCGCCTGCGACGCGAGATTGTCTCTCTGACACGTCGTAACGAGGAACTGCTGGAGATGACGAGAGAGCAGCAGATCGCGGCGCTGGAAAGCAGCAGCAAAATGCAGCCGTCGGCACCGTCGTTGCAGATCGGGTCTAGCGCGCGGGTACAGCAACCAAGCAGCGCTCCTAGCACGCGGCACAGTAGCGCTGAGGCCTACGAGTATCCGGATGATCTACGGCCGGTAGGCGGCGTTGCCGAGAAGCAGCGCGCCGATGCTGCGGAGGAGAGGGAACGCAAACGTGCAGAAGCTGCGGAGGAGAGGGAACGCAAACGTGCCGAAGCGGAGGAGCGACGACGCGCAGAGGCTGCGGAAAAGGAACGCAAACGTGCCGAAGCGGAGGAGCGACGACGCGCTGAGGCGGCTGAGAAGGAGGAGCGCAGGCGTCTTGAAGAGGAAGAGAGGGAACGTAAACGTAAAGAGCGTGAGGACGCTTCCCGTCGCCAGAGCGAAGAGCAGAAGCAACAGCAGCAGCGGCGACAGCAGCAGCAACATGAGGAGGAGACTGACGGCAAGATGCAGGAGCCGCGCAGTCAGAGGCGGGCTGCCGGCCACCCGGTTCTCACGCCACGCGCGCAGCACTCAAAGATAACTGTGACCACCTCGCAGCGGCGGGTGTCGCCGTCAACTTCTTCCACCGCCGTCTCGCGCAAACCGCAGCGCACGCCGACGGCGGCGGAGTTGTTGGTCGACCAGGATCCCACACCGGCGGAGGACTTCCCCAACGACGCCGTCGTGTCGCAGACGGCGCTGGGCGAGAACCCCAACAAGCGTGAGGTTTTGTACCGCAGCGGCAAGCGCGAGATCCACTACGCAAATGGGACGCGAAAGGTCATCCTTCCCTCCGGCCACGTCGTGCTGTACTTCACCAATGGTGACATCAAGCGCACGTTCCCATCAGGAAAGAGCTCGTACTGGTACGCCGCCGCGCAGACCACACACATACAGTACGCGGATGGCGTACAGGTGTTCCAGTTTCATACCACTGGCCAGATTGAGCGACATCTGCCGGACGGCAAGAAGGAGATTCTTTACCCTGACGGCATCTACAAGGTTGTCTTTGCCGATGGGCGCGAGGAGACGATCTTCCCCGATGAACTGTAATCCCTTTTGCCTTTGACGCAGGTGTTCATGATTTCTTTTTCGTTTTGATCTACTCCAGATCCCAACCCACACTTTATTGGTGCATTGGAAGTGGGAAATCGACGGCGGTCGGATGTATTGCTTGGCTCTGCATTCCTGTTGGTGCGCCTGTGGCACGCTAGAGAATTGAGTGTTGCTGAGATACTGTTGAGTGGCACTGGGCGGTAGTCGGAGCGATGGGAGCCGAATGTGATGCTTGCATGCGTCTTCGTGTGTCCATGTGTGGTGGGGGCTACGTCTTCTGCGTGCCCCCACGCTTTGAAGAGGTTGCTGGCGTTCTTTTTTGTTTGTTGATTGTCCAGTCCCCCGGTAACCGCTGCCTCGGCGACTTCGTGTATTTTTCGTTCTTCCTTCGTGCGCTTGTTTTTTTTTTTTTTTGCCGTCACAGGTGGTAGAGAAATAAGGAAGGGAATGAAAGCGTACGAGGCGGTGTGAATAAATAGAGAGAGAGAGAGAGAGAGAAAGAGAGAGAGAGAAACAACCATGCAAGGGTGAAAAGGAGAGAAAGAAGGGAGGGTCAGGTGAAGTAGAGAGGGAACGAGTGAACGACTCGTTGCTAGGTCGGGAATAAAGTGAATGCGGGAGGCAGAGAGATCGAGAGAGAGTGGGAGGTGCGTGGTGCCGGCCAATACTGGACAGCGGAGTCGCCCGTATAGAGACAAGGAGGCGTCCCCTGATGTTGTCTGTGCCGGTTTGTCTGTACCCTTGTGTGTCTGTGCGTGTGTTTGTGTTCTTTTTTCGTTGGTGATGGTGGTGATGGTGGTGCGGTGCCTGCTGCCTCTCCCTCCTCCCCACTCTCCACGCTTTCCTGTTTCTCGTTGGGAGCGCTCCCCCACACCACTTGCCTCTCGGGTTGTGCCCGGCGCTGCACACACAGACGCACTTCTCCGCTTTCCTTCCTTCCTTCGTTCTCTCTTGTTCGGACTCTGCAGAGTTTTTTTGCTTGTTTGTGAGTGTTGCAATCATACGCGAGATGGTGGAGGTGCCGCGCAACTTCCGTCTCCTCGAGGAGCTGGAGAACGGCGAGAAGGCGCTGGGGTCAAACCAGAACGTGTCGGTCGGCATTAACGGCACCGACGACATTTACCTGCACAACTGGAACGGTACCATCGTTGGCCCACTCGGCACGACATTCGAGCACCGCATCCTCTCACTAGAAATCTACTGCGACGAGGACTACCCAAGCAAGCCGCCGCACATTAAATTCATCAGCCGCGTAAACCTCCCGTGTGTTAATGCTGACGGCACGGTTGACAAGGCGAAGTTCCACCTCTTCAAGAACTGGGAGCGCCGCTACACCATGGAAAACTGCCTCGCCGAGCTGCGGCGGGAGATGACACAGCCCGGCAACAAGAAACTCCCGCAGCCGGAGGAGGGCTCGAAGTACTAACAGCAAGCGGAGAAAATATGAAACAAAAAAAA